TTTCCAAGAGGACTTGGGTCAACAGAGATAGACAAGCGGCAAACACGTACAGTGGGGGAAAAAAGTATTTAGTCAGCCACCAATTGTGCAAGTTCTCCCACTTAAAAAGATGAGAGAGGCCTGTAATTTTCATCATAGGTACACGTCAACTATGACAGACAAAATGAGAAAAAAAATGTCCAGAAAATCACATTGTAGGATTTTTTATGAATTTATTTGCAAATTATGGTGGAAAATAAGTATTTGGTCAATAACAAAAGTTTCTCAATACTTTGTTATATACCCTTTGTTGGCAATGACACAGGTCAAACGTTTTCTGTAAGTCTTCACAAGGTTTTCACACACTGTTGCTGGTATTTTGGCCCATTCCTCCATGCAGATCTCCTCTAGATCAGGGATGTTTTGGGGCTGTCGCTGGGCAACACGGACTTTCAACTCCCTCCAAAGATTTTCTATGGGGTTGAGATCTGGAGACTGGCTAGGCCACTCCAGGACCTTGAATTGCTTCTTACGAAGCCACTCCTTCGATGCCTGGGCGGTGTGTTTGGGATCATTGTCATGCTGAAAGACCCAGTCACGTTTCATCTTCAATGCCCTTGCTGATGGAAGGAGGTTTTCACTCAAAATCTCACGATACATGGCCCCATTCATTCTTTCCTTTACACGGATCAGTCGTCCTGGTCCCTTTGCAGAAAAACAGCCCCAAAGCATGATGTTTCCACCCCCATGCTTCACAGTAGGTATGGTGTTCTTTGGATGCAACTCAGCATTTTTTGTCCTCCAAACACGAGTTGAGTTTTAACCAAAAAGTTATATTTTGGTTTCATCTGACCATATGACATTCTCCCAATCCTCTTCTGGATCATCCAAATGCACTCTAGCAAACTTCAGATGGGCCTGGACATGTACTGGCTTAAGCAGGGGGACACGTCTGGCACTGCAGGATTTCAGTCCCTGGCGGCGTAGTGTGTTACTGATGGTAGGCTTTGTTACTTTGGTCCCAGCTCTCTGCAGGTCATTCACTAGGTCCCCCCGTGTGGTTCTGGGATTTTTGCTCACCGTTCTTGTGATCATTTTGACCCCACGGGGTGAGATCTTGCGTGGAGCCCCAGATCGAGGGAGATTATCAGTGGTCTTGTATGTCTTCCATTTCCTAATAATTGCTCCCACAGTTGATTTCTTCAAACCATGCTGCTTACCTATTGCAGATTCAGTCTTCCCAGCCTGGTGCAGGTCTACAATTTTGTTTCTGGTGTCCTTTGACAGCTCTTTGGTCTTGGCCATAGTGGAGTTTGGAGTGTGACTGTTTGAGGTTGTGGACAGGTGTCTTTTATACTGATAACAAGTTCAAACAGGTGCCATTAATACAGGTAACGAGTGGAGGACAGAGGAGCCTCTTAAAGAAGAAGTTACAGGTCTGTGAGAGCCAGAAATCTTGCTTGTTTGTAGGTGTCCAAATACTTATTTTCCACCATAATTTGCAAATAAATTCATAAAAAATCCTACAATGTGATTTTCTGGATTTTTTTTGTTTTTTTTTCTCATTTTGTCTGTCATAGTTGACATGTACCTATGATGAAAATTACAGGCCTCTCTCATCTTTTTAAGTGGGAGAACTTGCACAATTGGTGGCTGGCTAAATACTTTTTTCCCCACTGTAAATACATTCATTGGTTTCTTACTCTGAACGGGCGGTGGTTAGGGTGCTAAGTATTCTGATTACCGTGAGCGTAGTTTCCAAATGTATGTACGATAAGTTTGACTCTCTTTGTCCCTCTCTCCCTCCTTCTATTGACCCCTCGCTTTTTGAAAACCAAGCAGTCATGCTGTTGTTAGTCTGCTAGGGACTTTTCTCATGTATGAAGTATGTATGTATTCTGTGTTATTATTTAGTTAGCTAGTAAATAAATAATTAAACCAATTTGTGTATTGCTGATTCATCAATAAGGTTAGGGTTCTTGCACATATCAAGGAGTATGCGACGTTCAGAATGAGACTGATTTGGGGTAATGATTAATAAGTGACTGTTATCGATATACAGTACCAGTCAAAAGTTTGGACACACCTACTCATTCAAGGGTTTTTCTTTATTTGTACTATGTTTTACATTGTAGAATAATAGTGAAGACATCAACACTATGAAATAACACATATGGAATCATGTAGTAACCAAAAAAGTGTTAAACAATTCAAAATATATTTTATATATATATATTTGAGATTCTTCAAATATCCACCGTTTGCGTTGTTGACAGCTTTGCATACTCTTGGCATTCTCTCAACCAGCTTCACCTGGAATGCTTTTCCAACAGTCTTGAAGGAGTTCCCACATATGCTGAGCACTTGTTGGCTGATTGTCTTTCACTCTGCCGTCCGACTCATCCCAAACCATCTCAATTGGGATGAGGTCGGGGGATTGTGGAGGCCAGGTCATCTGATGCAGCACTCCATCACTCTCCTTCTTGGTAAAATAGCCCTTACACAGCCTGGAGGTGTGTTGGGTCATTGTCCTGTTGAAAAACAAATGATAGTCCCACTAAGCCCAAACCAGATGGGATGGTGTATCGCTGCAGAATGCTGTGGTAGCCATGCTGGTTAAGTGTGCCTTGAATTCTAAATAAGTCCAAATGTTACCAGCAAAGCACCCCCACATCATAACACCTCCTCCTCCATGCTTTACGGTGGGAATGACACATGTAGAGATCATCCGTTCACCCACACTGCGTCTCACAAAGACATGGCGGTTGGAACCAAAAATCTCAAATTTGAACTCCAGACCAAAGGACAAATTTCCACTGGTCTAATGTCCATTGGTCGTGTTTATTGGCCCAATCAGGTCTCTTCTTATTATTGGTGTCCTTTAGTAGTGGTTTCTTTGCAGCAATTCGACCATGAAGGCCTGATGCACACACTGCCCTCTGAACAGTTGATGTTGAGATGTGTCTGTTACTTGAACTCTGTGAAGCATTTATTTGGGCTATAATTTCTGAGTCTGGTAACTCTAATGAACTTATCCTCTGCAGCAGAGGTAACTCTGGGTCTTGCATTCCTGTGGCGGTCCTCATGAGAGCCAGTTTCATTGTAGTGCCTGATGGTTTTTGCGACTGCACTTGAAGAAACTTTCAAAGTTCTTGACATTTTCTGGATTGACTGACCTTCATGTCTTAAAGTAATGATGGAATGTTGTTTCTCTTTGCTTATTTGAGCTGTTCTTGCCATAATATGGACTTGGTCTCCTGTAGCTCAGTTGGTAGAGCATGGCGCTTGCAACGCCAGGGTTGTGGGTTCGATTCCCACGGGGGGGCAGTATGAAAATGAATGCACTCACTAACTGTAAGTCGCTCTGGATAAGAGCGTCTGCTAAATTACTAAAATGTAAATATTAAATGTATTTTACCAAATAGGGCTATCTTCTGTGTACCACCCCTACCTTGTCACAACACAACTGATTGGCTCAAATGCATTAAGAAGGAAAGAAATTCCACAAATTAACTTTTAAGAAGGCACACCTGTTAATTGAAATGCATTCTAGGTGACCACCTCATGAAGCTGGTTGAGAGAATGCCAAGAGTGTACAAAGCTGTCATCAAGGCAAAGGGTGGCTGTTGGAAGGATCTCAAATATAAAATATATTTTGATTTGTTTAACACTTTTGGTTACTACATGATTCCATATGTGTTATTTCAGAGTTTTGATGTCTTCACTATTATTCTACAATGTAAAAAATAGTAAAAATAAAGAAAAACCCTTGAATGAGTAGGTGTGTCCAAACTTTTGACTGGTAGTGTATATACCTATATATCTTCTAAGAGATTAATTCGGGAGATGGTAACTCGTTAAATAACTTATTCCGTGGTGCCCCAAATTCCTAATGAGTTTATTGTTGCATGATTAATTTAATCGAGTAACAATTAAACATAGTTAATTGATTTGATAAATAACAGTCATCACATTAATGAAAGTCACGTCACGACAGTACACACACACGCAGGCAGACAGGCAGGCAGACACCCAAACATAAACATGTTCATGCGTGCGTACACACACACATTGAAATAGAAAAACATCAGAGCTGACGTTGTATTGCTAGTCTGTTAGAAATGCCACAGAGAGAATTGTTTTGTCTTTTGTTGTTATTTATTCAGATCAGTGATTAATTTCAAATGCACATAAATTACCCACAAGTAGTCATTCTCTAATTAGTTGCTTTAGTCACGTTATGGTATCAACAAACCTTACAAGTAATGAATAATCACATCTCTAGACTCGACTGACTGTAGCTACAGTACGGCTCTGAACGCTCGACAAAGATTTGAAGGAAGAATTATTGAAGACTTGCGTTTAAAAGTCCACTCACAAGTGAAGCACTTACTGCATCTTTCATAGTAATTTCAACGTCAGACATCAAAATGCTCCAGTGTTTTGATACACTAGTAGTACCTGAATCCTTACAGAAAAACGACCTACAGTAGAAAAGGGCATATTGCAATCCGAAAAGGTTTTGTGTTATGTTTTGAGGCCGGTCATACTATGTTCAAATTGAAGACGGGAAGAAGAGAGTGGAAAAAAGGAAGAGATCGAGTCGAGGGAGTGGAGGTGTTGAGGTGTTATCCTTCCTCTACCCAAGAGGAAGTGAGTGGTTGTGGTCCCTCTGGTCGGTCGATTTGTGTGTCCTTTCCCCTGTGGTACCACATTCTAACAACTACTGCAGGCCACATTAAATCACCCAAATTTGGCTCACAGGTTGCCATTTTGAGACCCGTGCCCTAACCCTAACTTTACCTCTAACTCTAATTAAGAAGAAGTAGCATACGTAGAAAATGACTGTGAAATTCTAAATGGAAAAACAAGAGGAATGGTGGTGGTGGAAAATCGTGACGAAAGACAACAAAAAGAGAAATGGCAAACGTACTTGCTCATAAGGCCAGATGATAGTCAGATTAAATAAAAAATGGCCACCTAGTACCTTGCCCTCCCTCCGCCATTTCCTCCTACAGTCTTCACTTCTGGTCGACCTGGAAGCTGATGGAGCATTCAACAGCATCCGGACCAATGCCCTCCTCAAATGCCAGCAGGAAGTACATTATCTTCCTCACCTTCGCCATCTCGGCGATGCGCTCACCAAACTCCTGGGCATCAGCCTCATAGTGGTGTATGGGCGTGTCGTCGCCGTCACTCTCAGCTCGCCAGAACACCCCCGCCGGCTCCAGCAGCTGACGGTTCATCAGGTGGGTGAGGTCGGGCGTCCAAAGCTGTGAGGTGGCAGTCACGGTGAGGCGACCTGAGCGTGCCAGCCGCACACCCCAGTGGGCAAAACGCAAGGCCTGCTGGGAGAAGTCCAGGCGGTAGACGGCCTCGTGTGGTCGGAGGAGGCGCTCTCCGTCCTGCCGCTTCCCGCCGCGCTGCTGCAGCGACTGGGCCCGCTGACGCATCACCTCGGTCAGATGGGCGTCGGGCCGGAAGGGCAGCTCCAGAGTGGCTTGGGTGGCCATGTTGATTTAGGTTCAAGAGTGTGATTGGTCAATAGGGGGGAGAAGGCTCGATCAAACGGGAAATGCTTTGACTGGCTGAGTCCTCAGGAATCCTCACACTCTCTTGGTCACGTTCTCTCCGTCTTTGTCTCTCTCTCTCTTTCTTTCTCTGTTATTTTCTTTTCTCACACAGGTCCAGATGCAGCTCCTCTTTGGCCCGTGACCTTTTCCTCTTCCTCCTCTATCTTTGTCTCTAGCTCTACCTCTTTCTTTGTTGAGTACAGTATGTGTGTGTGGAAGACACTCATGCACACCTACAACACCCTGAGATGAGGGGCGGGCCTTGCCGTCTTGTCGTTCTTGGTTGGCAAGATGAGCTCTAGGCAACCTGAGCTAATGACATCTGCAGTGGCGACGTGGGGATTGCCCTTGGGGGAACCGGGGCCAGCTGTGTGTTTGTCACATATTTGTTTTGTCTCACATTTGTGCCGTCGTTGTGCTCGGCTAGCGTAGGCTTGCCTCTCTCGCGTACTGTACTTAGCTAAGTGTGACCGAAATCTGAGATTATTTTTTTTTAACAAACTGAAATAGGGAGGGACTACCTGAAATTGTTCAATAAAAAGCGCTCATTTTCATTTGCAAAATATTTTGCTACAGTGTGCACTAATGAAGACAAGCCAGGTGTGTCTGGTCTGATGGGCACCACTGCCTGACCACTGGGCTATGGGAGGAGGGGACTGCGGGGGTGGATGGGGTTGCTGCTGTTTCTGGCCAGAGTCCAGTCCATCCTTTGCAGAGAGAGTAAAGTTATTAAAGAGCTTTATTGTGTTCTGGATGAAAGCCGAGATAGATATCCCCCCCTCCCTCTTTCTCTCTCGTTCTCTCTCTCTTTCGATCTCTTACCCCACCCGCTCTCTCTGCAGTCCAAAGAGAGGGAGTGTGGGTGGGGGGTGGGGTGGTGTGGGTGGGTGGGGTGGGGGGGGGGGGGGGGGGGGGGGTTCCTAAGGGCTCTCAAATGACTCGGGTTTCTATGGTGCAGTGTTGTTGTTTTTTATCCTCTCCTCTTAACAGAGCTGCTACACACACACACACACACACAGAAAATCCCCTCAATCAGCAGAACGAAGGTTCCATCAGAACCACCCAGCCAGAACCGACCCACCGACCAGGGCTCTTAGTCCACCACTCCCCAGCATGTATCTCCAAGGGCAGTGGAGGAATAGTGATTCATTTCAATAAAATGTTGCCCTCTGCGCTCCGCAGTACACTTTCATTATGTGGCGTCTCATTACTACACTTCCTGTTTAGCCCTGATGGCTGATGGGTATTTCATGGGGGCTAAGTGTGGTCTTGTTTGCCCCCCAGCCCGCCCACCCCCCATCGCAGTCCGAGGGGGAGCCCCCGGGAAAGGGATGACTGGCTGGTACTTAATTGCAGCTCAAGTCATTCCCCGTCCCTCTGTCCTGTTCCACATATTCTTACCCCTCTGGATTTATACTAGCCAGAGCCCAGGTGATACATTACATTTGTTCCTTTAATCCTCCGGCCGGGGGTGACAAGGTGGCGACGAGGTATGCCGCAGCGGGGATGACAGCCTCACTCGTATTTACGAGTTCGGCCGACACGCGGCTTGTTCGTTCGGCTTGCATACTATGTGCAACTCTGACTCTCTTTTTCCTCCCCCCCTCCCTCTACTCTTCCTGCCTTACCACACCCGCTCCCTCTTTCACCCCCACACTCCCTTCCACTCCCTCCCACCCTCTTCACCCACCCCCTCCTCCCTTTCCCCACCCTTTCCATCTCTCTTTCCCACTCTCATCTCCCTCCACCCCCTCCTTCTCCGACCTCTTCCATTCCCACTGCTCCACGCCCCCAACCTTCCCCCCTCCACCCCCTTCAGGTCATCCCAGACTGGAAGGAGCAGGAGTGGGACACGGAGACACCCGAGTCGTACGCCGGGATCTTCCACTTCCGCTTCTGGCGCTTCGGCGAGTGGGTGGACGTGGTGATCGACGATCGGCTGCCCACGGTGGACAAGCAGCTGGTCTACTGCCACTCAGATGACAGCAACGAGTTCTGGAGCGCACTGGTGGAGAAGGCCTATGCCAAGTTAGTCAATTAATCAATCAATCTGTCAATGGCTTTATTGTCCCAATTGGAAAATGTGTAATACAGTCAGGGTAAAAATATTAATCAGTCAATCAATTAATCCAATCAATCTCTTAATTGTCCCAATTGGGGAATGTGTAATAAAGTCAGGGTACAAAACAACATTAAAGTCTAATGAACACCGAGGGGCATGCATAAAGAGATACAGTACTGTAGCAGTACCAGCAGCCCTTGGGGAATATCATCTAGGATAGGATCAAATGCTACTGTATGTTGATATTCTCCCAATATTTGAGGAATGCAGAAAAAATCTTAAGAACGAGGACACACTCACTCACTCAGATAAATAAATATTTGCAATTGGTAACACTTTACTTAAAGCCTGTAGGTATAATGCTTTATAACATGTTATAAGCATGTATGAGCCTTTAATGTTTAAGGCTTATTATTGTCTATCACTATTTTAACTGATTCAAAATACAGTATCTACTAGCCACTGCCTTTATGATTTGAGATGTGGAGACACATCTTGAGATGTGGAGTCAAATAAGAGGCTAGGTTCAGATGTCAACTGTGCACTGTAGACAGCATTGATGGAGAGATATTTGACATCAGATTAACTCATTAATTCATTCCTCCTCTCCCTCCTCCCGTCCCTGCAGAGTGTACGGCTGCTACGAGGCCCTGGACGGCGGGAACACGGCGGATGCCCTGGTGGACTTCACAGGTGGCGTGTCGGAGCCCATGGACCTGCTGGAGGGCCAGATGGCCACGGACGAGGTGGCCCGCAACCAGCTGTTTGAGAGGGTGCTGAAGGTCCACAACCGGGACGGCCTCATCAGCTGCTCCATCCGGGTGAGTCAGTCAGGGAAGATCTGTACTAGGCAGCCATTTTGGATCAGGGGCAGTTAGGAGATCTGGGTCATGTTCAATACAAAACATTTTTTAAAAATGCACTGAAACAGGGAGGTACTGCCTGTACTTCCTGTTTTCTAAGTTCCTGCTATTTGGAACACAAAGAAATTGCTACATAAATCGCAAGTTGCAGTGTTTGGCAATTGCCATGATAATGTGCCATCCAGTCTATTTAAAAAGTTGCGGTTAGTTGGCTCATGCAAAGTCTATCTTTGCGATAGGAAAATGTAATCCTTTGTGGTTATCCATCTATTTATCATTTATCAATCTAATCATACAATGCTTTCTCTCTGCTGATGAGACTTGAATTTGTATATACACACTTTCAGAATGCAAATACTTGCATTCATACCAATGAAATTAGGATGGTTTCTAATATCAGTCAGTTAAACCCCTCCACTTATCTATCCATCCATCTACCTGTCATCCTCAATCTGCTTGTTGATATCTGTCCGTCCGTCCGTCCGTCCGTCTATTCATCTGTTCATCAATACGCAACATCTGCTGTTGGGAGCTCCATTTGTATGAGTTCCACTCTCCCCCGGGCAGCCAGTGGTTACGTCCCATATGGCACCCTACTCCCTACAAAGTGCACTAGTTTTGACCAGAGCCCTATGGGACATTGTTGAAAGTAGTGCAGTATTAAGGTAATAAGGTGCCATTTGGAACACAAGCAGTGAGTCCCTCCGTTTGATTGTCTGCTGTTCTGCGCTCGTCCACTCCTGCACTAGAACTCATTTACAGTCCAACATTGTGTGATTCCGAGTCAAGCACACTAGCTCAACTGGCAGCTATAGGCATTTTATATTCATGAGTTTTCATGAGGATCCATTTCGGAACAATAACAACAGAACGGACACGGACCAAAAAAAAAAAAAAGTCAGCTAGACGAACGGCCCTGACAGCACCGAAAACCGTAGTTGTTAATTCCTCAGACATGACCCGTGACTTGGTGGTTGCTGTTTGGTTATGGTTGTAACGTCCTGGCAACTTTACATAAATGCTAGACTACTCACAGGCTTTTTGTTGTGAGGAGGTCTGATTTAGGAATGCAACCAAGGTATCTTAAAAGCCACACTCGTGCATCTCTCCCCAGACTCCAAGCCTAATTGCTTTTTGTCTTCTCCCCCCCCCCCCCCCATCGCTGTTTTTTGTAAGCAGGGTTTGAAAAATGATGTGTGTGGTAGCGAATGCTCAAAGCACGTCTTCCACAGAGCCTATAGGCCTAGGCAGAATAGGGGAGTGACCTATTTTTGTATTTTTTCCAGGCCGTATTCGAAATATTCTTGCCACCTCTCTTTCTTGATTATTGACCTGCCAAACATTCCCCATTTATCTAATCATACATCATTTTTAGTAAGAAGAGGTCTTTTGATTGGTATAGGTGATGACAATAGTTATTGTTGTTTTTTCTCATAAGACTCGGATTAGACTCAGATTTGTAAAAAGGGTTAATTGTAACATTTGTTACAATTAACCACTTACCTAAAATTCTGTGGTATTTTGTATGGTATTTAGACACATTCACATAGTGATATGAATTGTCACTTCTTTACATCAAGTACAACTAAGATAATATCTTAGAAAAAAGTAATTCATACTTTAGAATGCTAAAAGTATCTTATATAAAATATATACATTTTGTCTACTCTGCTTTTGGTCAGTATGACATGCCTAAAAGATCAAATGAAAATATTTTTGGTCAATGTATTGTATTTTCATCCAACTATCAGTTTCAAATAAGAACATTTTTAAATTACCCTTCATTTTTACCATTGGAGACAGACATTTCACTTCCACCACTTTCGGTTTAATTGTAAACAACTGGTATGTCCTAGAAACATACAATGTGTAATAATAGCTAAGATATGTACAGTATGTTTGTATACAAATATTATTAATCTACCTCAAATATTATTTTCATACTAAGCAAAAGCCTAAAACTGTTACTTTGTTCCCCAGTCTCCCCTTCTCTGGCCTTTTGTCTGTCTCTGTCATATCATATCATACACATCTACAGATTTAAGAGCCTGGTCCTAGGCTGAATAACACTATGTATAAGCATTGAAATTAGTGATGGGCACAGACATGGAAAATCTATATTGATATCAGTATAATTTTTTCAATCTGATATCATATCATTTTTTATCAAAGACGTGAATGTTCACTTTTCTGTTCACTTCCATGACTCTCTGAAGTCCAGACAACTGCTTGCCCATTGGGCCAGGTGTGAATGTTCTGGTAGCCAACTTACTCAACCAATTTGAATATAATGGGAAGCCCATCCACAGTTGATGGCCCATCAGCAGGCAATTAAGTATGCTTAAATTGAGAGCCTGTGAGGTCTGTGAGAAGGTTTTGTGCATGCAGGAACAGTCATGTGTGCTTTTTTTATGTAGAAGTCCCCTGGGTTGTATTTATTAGGCACTAAATGGAAGAAAATGGACTGAAACAGGGAGGGACTAAAATACCTCATCCAACGTGGATGTAGATTAAGGCAGCCCCCCGCTGCCTTAACCCAACCCCTCTGATTCAGAGAGTTGGGTTAAGTGCGGAAGACACATTTCAGTCTAATGCATTCAGTTGTACAATTGACTACGTATCCCCCTTTCTCTTTCACAATAAGAAACACTTGTTTTTGTTTTCTGTTGCAAAACATTTTGTTACGTTGTGCACTAATGAATACGACCTTGTTTTCACTCATTTCCTTCCTGTCTTTTTTCTCCTTTATCCCCTTCTATCTCCTTAGTAGTTGCTCCCTTGCTGTCGTTGCATCACACTTTGTTTGTGAAACAGGCTCATTACATCTGGGCCTTGTGCTCAATTATACTTTGATGATCAAATAGCAAGGGACAGCACCGGCTGACTATGCTGCAAGCTCAATTCAAACAAACCAATCCTCAGTTCAACTTGACTGGGCCTTGTTCAATAGGCATCAAATGGGAAAAATTGTCTGAAACAGGTGGACTTGTCCAATAGATATGCACATTTTCATTTTGTCGCAAGATGTTTGAAAACATTTTTCTGTCGCATGCCCTAATGAACACAACCCTTGTCACAACTCAAGCACTTTGAGCTGCATTCTGTGTATGAAATGTGCTGCACAAATAAATAAATATTAATTTATTATTAACTGTCTCTTAGGCGACCACAGTGGAGGACATGGAGGCGCGGCTAGACTGTGGCCTGGTCAAGGGCCACGCATATGCGGTGACGGACGTGAAGAAGGTGCGTCTGGGCCAGGGCCTGCTGGCATTTTTCAAGTCAGAGAAGCTCAATATGATCCGCATGAGGAACCCCTGGGGAGAGAAGGAGTGGAGCGGGCCCTGGAGCGACAGGTAAATACACAACACTCCTCAGGCCTGGAGGTGGTACTACACAACCATAGAATAAGAATTACAGTAGAATGGGTGTTCCAATTCATTCTAATTCGATGTACACAACACTGCGTAATGGAAGCTTCTCCTATTAAGAATGCCTTTACTGCCTCGAAACGACTAGACCATGTAGGAGTAATGAGGTGGAGAGAGAGGTGTTCTCCATCTACTGAAATGGGGGATGCTGTGTGTGTGTGGGATGATAAATGCCATAAATTAACCGTTGAACATGTATACGTGTGAAAGCGTGAATGTGTGTTTTTGTGTTATTTATTTATTTTAAGAAAAACAACAATGTGGAGGGAAAAATAAGGGTAGGCTATTAATTTTGTACGTTTCAGTAATCATGCATAAGTAGGAGACAAAGTAATGCCATTACAGTGCAATTCTGAGATCTGCAGGGGTGCTGTTAGTACAGTGGCTATTATATTGTGGAGTGAATCCCATTAACGCAACTGTTTGGAACTGAATTAATCAGACGTTCACGAGTCGTATTGTTATAAATAAACTTGGTTGAATGGTAAAAAGTTAAAAGAATAATAATACTATGATTACTTTTTAAGGCGCACATGCTCACACGTTTAAGTCACACCTTAAAGTAAACAAATATATAATACAAAAATATCAAACATAATTAATAAAATATAATCACACGTTCAACAGTTCATTTATGGCTTATATCATGTAATAGGATGGGGAGAAGACTGAGAGCATCTCTCTTCCACTTCCTTCTCTCTTCCTCCTTCTGTTATGTCCTATTGTTTATCGCTAGGTTGTGTGACACAGCAGAGATTGTAGGGCTCGCTCATGAAGGCAGCTGAATTATTGAGTAGGTAAAGGAGAGAGATGTTAGTTCTTAAAGGGGAAGTGACTGAGTGGTGTTATTAAAGGAGTCGTCTCCCTTCATTTATATAGTCATAAGAATGAATGTATCATTTATCTGGGGTTTGATCACAATTGGAATTGGAGAGATTTCATTTTACTGTTTGATGTGAAAGTTCCCACAGAAGTTGTGGCACTGGTAGGAATTTCATAGAAACAAAATAGAGGTTTATTTTCATATGCACGTAGGCACACACATAATTGCTATGTATTCCCTAAACCTACAATTCCTACTTCCTGGTTAGGTCTTCCTGTTTTAATCTTTGACTGCTCCTGAGAAAGTTGCTGTCTATTGTCATGTGGTGCTGAACTTCAGAATCTCCAATCCAAAAATGTTTTCAGTGGTATGTTTGCTCTATAATTTCCTTTGTGTCATGCTGTCGAACATGAGGTAATTTCATGTCTGTGCTCCCAGCTCAGAGGAGTGGAAGAAGGTGAGCAAGAGTGAGAGAGAGAAGCTGGGCGTCACCGTGCAGGACGACGGAGAATTCTGGTGAGGGGGACCACCATGCACACACACACCATTAAAACATTAGGGGCCATTTTCCCACACACAGATTAAGCCTAGTCCTGGACTAAAAAGCATGCTCAGGACTATGCTTAATCTGTATCCGGGAAACCGACCCTAGTTGATTCATCTGTTTCATTAATCGATTGAACGGCACTTTCCTAAATATACCCTCTTGCCCTCCCTCCCTCCATCCCTCCCTTCCTCTCCACTCTAGGATGACGTTTGATGACTTCTGCCAGTACTTCACGGACCTGATCCTGTGCCGCCTCATCAACACCTCCTATCTGAGCATCCATAAGACCTGGGAGGAGGAGGTGATGAGGGGCTCCTGGGTCCCCCGCCAGGACCCCCTGAGGAACCGCTCTGGGGGATGCATCAACCACAAGGCCACCTTCCTCCAGAACCCACAGGTGGGGTGCATGAGGGTGGAGGATGAGGTGGAAGTGGGGAGAGTGTGGGTGGATGGTGGGAGGCTGGGTGGGTGGGTGGGTGGGAGGGTGTGTGTTTGTACTGTGTAAGTTTGTATGTGTTTTTCTGTTGGTGTCTTTGCATGTACTGTATATTCTGTATTTGATTTGAGGAGATTGTTCTAATTAGTGTGTTTATGTCTCTCTGCAGTATGTGTTTGACGTGAAGAAGCTAGAGGACGAGGTGTTGATCGCCCTGCAGCAGAAGGAGAGGAGAGCCACCACCAAAGAGGGCAAAGGAGATAACCTGGCCATAGGCTTTGACATTCACCGGGTATGCGCACACACACACACACACACACGCACACACACACACACACACACACACACACACACAGAGATGAAGACAAACACCCACATGAGAACACACTCACACAGATGAACAGACACACAGATAGATAAAGAGACACACACACAGATGGATACACAGGAAGATGATCACACTCCATCGCTCCACATGAATTTTTCCTTTTGCCTCATCTTTACCTCTTAACTCTTTACTTCCTTGCTACTCATAACATAAAATATAAGACATAAGGATCCTTGTTCAAGCCCTGCATGAGCCATCTTTCCACCTCCTGTATCTGTATCCCTGCTTCTGCCTCTATCCTTGCTCTGCATGATGATGTCATATCTACCTTGAAAGTCTACCTTTAAAATGTGACCCTGACGTCATGTCCCCTCCCGTCCTCTAGGTGGAGCTGAACAGAAAGTACCGCATGCACACGGCCCAGCAGAAGGTGGCGGGCTCCATCTACATCAACTCGCGCTGCGTCTTCCTCAGGAAGGAGCTCAAGGAGGGTCGCTACGTCATCATCCCCACAACTTTTGACCCCGGGCAGCAGGGTGACTTCCTGTTGCGGGTCTTCACTGACGTGCCTTCAGACTGCAAGTAAACCAGCCGGCCGACATGCAGCCCCACCCCCACCCCTGTTCCGTTTAACATCCTTACCTTTACAAAGGGATAGCTAACTTTAAAGGGATAGTTCACTGGGATCATAGAATTGAATAGAACAGTATTATTTTGTAGTTCTATGATAGGGATTGCCTAATTGCCCAGTTCAAATTGATCAAATAGCAAACCTCATTTTATAGAAACACATCAAATTAAACTGGTGTGCATGTTAAAGGGATATTTCAATTTGGAACGTTTTCATATTTTTTGTATTTTACCACTTACTATCCGTTTAACATGCACACCAGTTGAATTGTATGGGTTTCTATAAAATGATTTGAGCTTTTTGATCAAGTTGAACTGATTCTCTAAGTGGACCCAGAACTTTTTTCATGTAATTTGTCATCCACTGCCATTGCTCTCACCAAAATGAATAATACTCATATTCACTTTCTTTCCCTCCCCAACAGAGAGTTGAACCTAGACGAGCCCCCCCAGACGTGTTGGACGGGCATGTGTGGTTACCCCCAGCTGGTCACCCAGGTCCACGTTCTGAGTGCTGAGGGACTCCAGGGCCAGGACTCTAATGGAGGTAAGCTAGTAAGGCTGCAGTAGGAAATAGTAGGCCTACAGTAAAGTAAGCTACAGTACGCACCCATGTCGAAGGGAGGCTTTGGGAGCTGACTTGCATACAGTGTATTCGGAAAGTATTCAGACCCCTTCACTTTTTCCACATTTTGTTACGTTACAGCTATATTCCAAAAAAAAATCCTCATCAATCTACACACAATACCCCATAATGACAAAGTGAAAACAGGTTTTTAGAAATGTTAGCAAATGTATTAAACATAAAAAACTGAAATACCTTATTTACATAAGTATTGTAAATATTGCTATGAGACACGAAATTGAGCTCAGGTGCATCCTGTTTCCATTGATCATTCTTGAGATGTTTCTACAACTTGATTGTGGTAAATTCAATTGATTGGACATGATTTGGAAAGGCACACACCTGTCTATATAAGGTCCCACAGTTGACAATGCATGTCAGAGCAAAAATCAAGCCATGAGGTCGAAGGAATTGTCCGTAGAGCTCCGAGACAGGATTGTGTCGAGGCACAGATTTCACATTTACATTTACATCATTTAGCAGACGCTCTTATCCAGAGCGACTTACAAATTGGTGCATTCAACTTATGATAGCCAGTGGGACAACCACTTTTTTTTCAATGGGGGGTGGGGGAGGGGGTGGGGGGTGGGGGGTGGGGGGTAGAATGATTACTTTATACTATTCCAGGTATTCCTTAAAGAGGTAGGGTTTCAAGTGTCTCCGGAAGGTGGTCAGTTACTCCACTGTCCTGGCGTCGTGGGGGAGCTTGTTCCACCATTGGGGTGCCAGAGCAGCAAATAGCTTTGACTGGGCTGAGCGGGAACTGTGCTTCCGTAGAGGTAGGGGAGCTAGCAGGCCAGAGGTGGATGAACGTAGTGCCCTCGTTTGGGTGTAAGGTCTGATCAGAGCCTGAAGGTAAGGAGGTGCCGTTCCCCTCACAGCTCCGTAGGCAAGCACCATGGTCTTGTAGTAGATGTGAGCCTCAACTGGAAGCCAGTGGAGTGTGCGGAGGAGCAGGGTGACATGAGAGAACTTGGGAAGGTCGAACACCAAACGGGCTGCAGCGTTCTGGATAAGTTGTAGGGATTTAATGGCACAGGCAGGGAGCCCAGTCAACAGCGAGTTGCAGTAATCCAGACGGGAGATGACAAGTGCCTGGATTAGGACCTGTGCCGCTTTCTGTGTAAGGTAGGGTCGTACTCTGCGAATGTTGTAGAGCATGAACATGCAGGATCGGGTCACCGCTTTGATGTTAGCGGAGAACGACAGGGTGTTGTCCAGGGTCACGCCAAGGTTCTTTGCACTCTGGTAGGAGGACACAATGGAGTTGTCAACCGTGATGGCGAGATCATGGAGCGGGCAGTCCTTCCCCGGGAGGAAGAGCAGCTCCTTTTTGCCAAGGTTCAGCTTGAGGTGGTGATCTGACATCCACACTGATATGTCTGCCAGACATGCAGAGATGCGATTCACCACCTGGTTATCAGAAGGGGGAAAGGAGAAAATGTAATTGTGTGTCGTCTGCGTAGCAATGATAGGAGAGACCATGTGAGGATATGACAGAGCAGGGAGGTGAAGGTGGCAAAGAGCTTCCTATGGTTAGCTTCCTGAAATGTTGAGTGGTAGAAAGTGGCTTTAGCAGCGGAAACAGAGGAAGAGAATGTAGAGAGGAGGGAGTGAAAAGATGACAGGTCCGCAGGGAGTCTAGTTTTCCTCCATTTTCGCTCGGCTGCCCGGAGCCCTGTTCTGTGAGCTCGCAATGAATCGTCAAGCCACGGAGCAGGAGGGGAGGACCCAGCCGGCCGGGAGGATAGGGGACATAGAGAGTCAAAAGATGCAGAAAGGGAGGAGAGGAGGGTTGAGGAGGCAGAATCAGGAGATCGGAGGGAGAAGGATTTAGCAGAGGGAATAGATGATAGGATGGAAGAGGAGAGAGTAGCGGGAGAGAGAGCGAAGGTTGCGACGGCACATTACCATCTGAGTAGGGGCAGAGTGAGTAGTGTTGGAGGAGAGCGAGAGAGAAAAGGATACAAAGTAGTGGTCGGAGACTTGGAGGGGAGTTGCAGTGAGATTAGTAGAAGAACAGCATCTAGTAAAGATGAGGTCAAGCGTATTGCCTGCCTTGTGAGTAGGGGGGGACGGTGAGAGGGTGAGGTCAAAAGAGGAAAGGAGTGGAAAGAAGGAGGCAGAGAGAAATGAGTCAAAGACAGACGTAGGGAGGTTAAAGTCTCCCAGAACTGTGAGGGGTGAGCCATCCTCAGGAAAGGAACTTATCAAGGCGTCAAGCTCATTGATGAACTCTCCAAGGGAACCTGAGGGCGATAAATGACAAGGATGTTAAGCTTGAATGGGCTAGTGACTGTGACAGCATGGAATTCAAATGAGGAGATAGACAGATGGGTCAGGGGAAAAAGAGAGAATGTCCACTTGAGAGAGATGAGGATTCCTGTGCCACCGCCGTGCTGACCAGATGCTCTCGGGGTATGTGAGAACACATGGTCAGACGAGGAAAGAGCAGTAGGAGTAGCAGTGTTTTCTGTGGTAATCCATGTTTCCGTCAGCGCCAATAAGTTGAGGGACTGGAGGGTAGCATAGGCTGAGATGAACTCTGCCTTGTTGGCCGCAGAACAGCAGTTCCAGAGGCTGCCAGAGACCTGGAACTCCAAGTGGGTCGTGCGCGCAGGGACCACCAGATTAGAGTGGCAACAGCCACGTGGTGTGAAGCGTTTGTATGGCCTGTGCAGAGAGGAGAGAACAGGGATAGACAGACACATAGTTGACAGGCTACAGAAAAAGGCTACAATAATGCAAAGGAGATCGGAATAAAATGAACTAAACATCTGGGAAAGCGAGAGAGCGGGGCCTCCCTCACTTACGTTTCACTGAAACACTCAAATATAACTCTCCCAACTTCCACTTTAGAAATTATAATTGTTGTAAACTACAGCGGTTCAATGTTTTCTAGGAATAGACTCTAACTTAGTTTATTCAGCTAGCTAACTTGGTACAGTATTCTTCCGTGAAAACCGTCCAGGGCACCGAATCCTATGACGCCAAAGCCAACTAGCATGCCAGCCTCCAATAACACGGTTTAGCACCAATACTCGGTTACAACAAACCACCAGTGTGTTAACACGCCAAGCAGATCATTCGTGTCTGTGTCTAACGTTGTGTAAAGTTTTGGGTTAGTTTTGACAGTTTGAGTGAGTATGTCATCAACTTATTCAGCCAGTTAGTTAGCTAGAATAGTTAGCATACTAGCTAGCCATTGCTCTCTGCCAACAAATCAACCCCTCCTCCCACGGCACGAACACACAGAGAGCCAAGCTAATGTTAACTAGTTACCCATGTCCCGAATTCCCTTGAACGACTCTGGTTACCAGTATGTAAAAACAAAACAAAAATAAATGTAGGTTATAACTTACCCTTAGTAGCTACTGTTAGCCAGTTAAGTGCAAAGCTAGCCACTGAATCGATTCAGCCAGTTTGCGTCTGTCCCAACGGAGAGAAAGCGTCTCCAAATATTAAAGCTAGGTCGTTCCAGCTATTGTTTAGTTAGCTATCCAGGTAGCAACAAGCTAGCTACATTTCGAGTACAGTAGCTACTAACTACCTAACGTTAACGATTCAGATCGTGGGGAAGGGTACCAAAACATTTCTGCAGCATTGAAGATCCCCAAGAACACAGTGGCCTCCATCATTCTTAAATGGAAGAAGTTTGGAACCACCAAGACTCTTCATATAGCTGGCCGCCCGGCCAAACTAAGCAATCGGGGGAGAAGTGCCTTGGTCAGGGAGGTGACCAAGAACCCGATGGTCACTCTGAAAGAGCTCCAGAAAGAACCTGGAGTTCTGAAAGAACCTTCCAGAAGGACAACCATCTCTGCAGCACTCCACCAATCAGGCCTTTATGGTAGAGTGGCCAGATGGAAGCCACTCCTCAGTAAAAGGCACGACAGCCCGCTTGGAGTTTGCCAGAAGAAACAAGATTGTCTGGTCTGATGAAACCAAGATTGAACTCTTTGGCCTGAATGCCAAGCATCACGTCTGGAGGAAACCTGGCACTATCCCTACGGTCATGCATGGTGGTGGCAGCATCATGCTGTGGGGATGTTTTTCAGCGGCAGGGACTGGGAGACTAGTCAGAATCTAGAGAAAGATGAACGGAGCAAAGTACAGAGAGATCCTTGATGAAAACCAGCTCCAGAGCGCTCAGGACCTCAGACTGGGTGAAAGTTCACCTTCCAACAGGACAACGACCCTAAGCACACAGCCAAGACAACGCAGGAGTGGCTTTGGGACAAGTCTCTGAATGTCCTTGAGTGGCCCAGCCAGAGCCCGGACTTGAACCCGATCGAGCAACTCTGGAGAGACCTGAAAATAGTTGTGCAGTGACGCTCCCTATCCAACCTGACAGAGCTTGAGAGGATCTGCAGAGAAGAATGGGAGAAACTCCCCAAATACAGGTGTGCCAAGTTTGTAGCGTCCTACCCAAGAAGACACGAGGCTGTAATCGCTGCCAAAAGCTGTTTCAACAAAGTACTGAGTAAAGGGTCTGAATACTTATGTAAATGTAATATTTCTGTTTTTAATTTTTTATACATTTGCGAACATTTCTAAAAGCCTGTTTTTGCTTTGTCATTATGAGGTATTGTGTGTACATTGATGGGGGGAAAAAAACGATTTAATCAATTTTAAAATAAGGCTGTAACTTAACAAAATGTGGACAAAGTGAAGGGGTCTGAATACTTTCCGAATGCATTGTATACCATTTTCACACTACTGGGCCGAGCTATACTAGGATGCCCCGGTTATGTATCCACCATTGTTGCTGGACAATGCTGTAAAGGATGTGGGAAATGTCGAGGGGAAAGGTTCTGGTCGACACAATAATCTCTTCTGACGATGGGTAACTTGAGTTTAAGTGTGTACATTTTGTGTGAGTGTGTGTTGCCGTGCCCCAAAATGTGTTGCAAGGTGAACTCTTCTGGTCATACACAGAGCTGCACTGTCTCATTCCCAACAAGAAGAGGCAGCTGGCCAAAACACAAGGAGGTACATCAGCATCACCTAGTGGCTAGCGGCTTAGTTACAACTAGACATATTGCACAATAATAGTTCAATAGGCTTTGGCTCAGCCCAGAAACAGCCCCTAAACCCTTGCAAACTCAACTCTGGACCTCGAAGCCAGTTCCACTACATTTTTACATTGTTCCCCTCTAATCAGGGACTGATTTAGACCTGGGACACGAGGTGTGTGCCATTAATTATCAGGTAGAACAGAAAACCAGCAGAATGCTCTGGACCTCGTAGTGCAAGAGTTGAATGCCGATGTCCTAACCCCTAACCCCAAGCTTCATGTAGATCTAAGAGGATTGGATAGGTATAAGCAAAATGGTAGTAGTTCCACCTAGCCCTTTAATAGGCTAGGTCTAGGAATACTATTTTTCTCCATATGGCTGAAACCTATCCCCTCCCTTTCAGATCTATAGTCTTCAACAGTTCCTTACCCCCATATCCTCTACCTACCTAGTAGCACAAGCAACTAAAACCCTTCTCCACCTACCTGTCAGAGACCTGTCTGCTTGCTGGTTGGTCTGATGGCCAGATAAGCATTTGCTTCATTTAGACCTAGAGTTGGTTTTGGCCTGCATAGTTGAGTACACATGCACACACATGTTTACACTTCCCATGTCGATACAGAGATTGACAGCTGTCCCTCATTCCTCCTTCCCTGTCCCTCCCAGCCTCGGACCCGTACGTCATCATCACCTGTGAGGGGGAGAGGGTGCGCTCGCCGGTGCACAAGGACACACGGAGCCCCAACTTCGATGTCAAAGGCCTGTTCTACCGCAAGAAGCCCAAGGAAGGCATCCACATTGAGGTGAGCACAGACGGAGGGGAGGAACTCTTTCTTAACTGTCTGTCTGTGTTCATACAGTATGTATACCTCTATCTCTTGAACATGTTTTCTTCTAACCTTTTTAAAATCACTTTTTCTATGCTCCCTCTCTCTCTCCTCTCTCCCTTGGTCTCTTTCTTCTCTTTCAAATCCCCCCTCTTTTTCCCCTCTGCTCTGCTTGGACCTTGGGCCATACCATAATAGATCTACAATAAGAACGTGATTGTGGATACCTTCCTGGGTCAGGTGACCCTGTCCAGTGACCCAAACGACCGGCAGGAGCAGCACACGCTCCACCTGCGCGACAAGGGCAATCGCCAAGACAACGACCTCCCGGGCACGGTCACCGTGCGCCTCATCACCTGCATCACACTCATCAACATATGACGTCACAACCGCCAGTCTCGCCATGGAATGTCGAAGGAGCTTGACCTTTGTCATCTTGACGACATGCCCCTAAACCGAGCATGCCAGTTAAACTGTTAATCACCCCCACCCCTGCTCCATCCAACCCAACACCCACCTTTCTGACTCTTTCTCTCACACTCACTGTTTCACACACACACACACACACACACACACACACACACACACATACACATACATACACACATACACATACATACACACACAAACACACAGGCCGTGTCTGAGTTCCAAATAGTAGGCTGATTGGGTATGCGAAAATATAAAGTTTTATAGTATGTGAAATATTGAACATTTAGTTTGCTTTAAATGCCAGGATGTCATACTCATTTCATCTTTACATCTAGTGGAATTCGCTGCACACTATTGAGGAAGATAAGCGTATTTTCAGACCCACGTGGGTGTGACAACAGCTTATAATCTGCTGATAATGAGATACCAAAATGAATGAATGGCGGGAAACAATGCAATTGTGCATTAGATGACGCATTCTCAGTATGGGTGAGCCTGGTATGTTGATATTTGTAGCTTACTGCATACATACAGTATACTAAACAGTATGTTCTAAATAGTATGAAGTATGATTAGTACACAGTATGTATATAGTTTTAGTAAGTAGTAGGCAAGACTACTCTCTCTACATGCCTTCAACTCTCCCACACACACACACACACACTTTTAACATGCCCCTGCACTCCTCATGCATCTACAAGCATCTCTAAGGGCTATACATCGCCTTAAGGCTGAGTGGGTCTCTTTAGGAGCCTGTGACCAGCCATATGTCAGGTGGGAGGGGGGTCGTTGTATTGGGTGGTATACTGTGTGTAGCCTTGCCTCCTCCCCCCTCCATCACATCTTTCCTCCTCCCACTCCCATCCCCTTGGACTACGCTCCCCTACGCTTCTACAGGTTGCCATGGACAATATCGAGTTTAGCATGGCTAAAAAGGAATCTGCCTGCATTGCACACGACCCATCCCCCTTTACACACAAACACACTCTTAGCTTAGCAACCGGCGCTTTTGATATGCCCCAGTGGAGTGACTGTGGAGCTCCGCCTGCCATAATCAAGTGCTTTACGGGACCAAATACGGAACAGGCCCTCCCTACTCTCTCTTTTGCCGGCGCCAGTCGCCACTGTGCTACGTCAGTCGGTCATCTCTACGGCAGCGCCACTGCCTGACGCTTCCGGAGTCATGGGACTCCTGTCAATTGACCTGAATCATGTGACCCAGAGAGACAGCAGCTGTTGTCCCTCTGTGTGTGTGTGTGTGTGCATGCATTCGTACGTGTGTTATGCCTGCGCCTTTGAACACCATGCACCTCGCCTAGCTCTGACACGGGCATGGCTGGATGGAGGGATGAGCGGAAGAAGAGAGCGTGAAGGATGGAGAGAAGCAGCAGGAAATCTGTCAGTCAACTCCTGCCAAAAACAACATGTGCCATAGCCTTGTTCCTGGCTCTGACTCGGTTGTGACTCGATACCACTATTCCCGACAGGAACACATTTTGGATTAGCATAATTTTTAACTATTTGAAATGGTGGTGTGAAAAGTGTGGGTTTTTGTCTTGCCAAGACAGAGACTATCACATCATACAGAACCATCACTGGTACAGTCCCCATAACCCCAACATCTTTAGCATCTCTTCTCACGTAGATCATGTTGCGCTTTCTCTTTTGACCTGCTTTCCACATGGTATTTATCTCAATCTCTGACAGTGGCAAGCGTTGGAGAAAAAAGAGATACAAGCCCCAAACACTATGTTGTCATGTCGAGTATCTTTTCTAAAGTGCAATATGATTGCAGAGACTTTTCTAGAGTAGGATCTGACAGTATTGTCTATGTACAGCGTCGTCGAGTGGATGCGTCGAGATACAACGGCGGATCTCACGTACGTTGAGAATCATTCCGGAGACATTTATTTTTTGAATGTAGTGCAGACAGCATCGACCGACTAATCTCTCGCTCTCTCTTTATCGAACCATCAATCCCTTTTACTTGTTTCAACACCTTTTTTTTTGCATTACTTGAACAACAATGGCATTTATTGTAATTGATTTATTTATTGTATTGTCACATTTGTTTGTATATTTATTAATGTATTTAATTAATTAATGTGTCTTTCATAGATCGTTTTTAATTCTATGTCCATGATATGTATTGTTCTTCTATTGTTACTATTCTATATTTCTTTATTCTTTCCATCTTCTGTTTGGGAAACAAATGGTAGTGTTTAAGGTTCAGCATGTTTACACTATTGCACATCATATCAGAATCATATCAAGAGGTTTAAAATGGTCACTTTAAAGGTACTGATCAGTGACATCCACCATTCATGACAGTATGTTTTTAGTATTGACTATCATTCGTAGCTTCAAATGACGAAAACGCCTTCTATTGTGTTGAGTTGCAGACTAAGGCAGAGACTAAACTAGTTGTTAAACAAAAATCTTAAAGGGATAGTTCATGCAAAATCTATATTTGTGTCAAATTACCCTTACCTTGAGTTGTGTCTGAAGGCCCATAGTGACAGAATCTGCCAGGAGTTAGCATAATCATCGTCCAAATTCATTAATGTAAACAGCGTTGCCGATATTAGCAGAGCTGCTTTGCAAGCCGAAACTTCCTCAACTTCAAACTAATGTCTTGTTATAAGGCAATATGTTATGCAAGTAACATACAGTAACTAAAACTGAAACTAAAATAAAAACTAAAATTGGAAAAACTATTTAGTTAACTGAAATAAAATAATTAAGAAAAACATTAGAAAAACTAAAACTACACGACCAAAAGTGTGGTCACTGGAACTAAGGGGCCTAGCCAGACCATTATTCCTCCTCCACCAAATGTTACAGTTGGCACTATGCATTCAGGCAGGTAGCGTTCTCCTGGCATCCGCCAAACCCATATTAGTTCCGTTGGACTGCCAGATGGTGAAGCGTGATTCATCACTCCAGAGAACGCGTTTCCACTGCTCCAGAGTCTAATGGTGGCGAGCTTTACACCACTCCAGCCGACGCTTGGCATTGCGCATCTTAGGCTTGTGTGCGGCTGCTCGACCATGGAAACACATTTTGTGAAGCTCCCGACTAACAGTTATTGTGCTGACGTTGCTTCCAGAGGCAGTTTGGAACTCGGTAGTGAGTGTTGCAACCGAGGACAGACGATTTTTACGTGCTTCAGCACTTGCCGGTCCCGTTCTGTGAGCTTGTGTGGCCTACCATTTCGCGGCTGAGCCGTTGTTGCTCCTAGACGTTTCCACTTCAAAATAACAGCACTCACAGTTGACCGGGGCAGCTCTAGCAGGGCAGAAATTTGATGAACTGACTTATTGGAAAAGTGGCATCCTATGACAGTGCCACGTTGAAAGTCACTGAGCTCTTCAGAAAGGCGATTCTACTGCCAAAGTTTGTCTATGGAGATTGCATGGCTGTGTGCTCGATTTTATACACCTGTCAGCAACGGGTCTTTCTGAAATAGCCGAACCACTCATTTGAAGAGGTGTCCACATACTTTTGTATATATAGTGTATACTGAAACTATTATCTTTGACTGCAAAACGAACTAAAATAAAATAAAAAACATCAAATTATGTTTAGTTAGATTTTTATTTATTTTAAACTTTTTTTGCTAATGGGGTTTTCGAGCTTCTGAATCTGGCGGGTGAATGCTGCCAGTAAATGGCGCTGTTTCAAATAGGCCTAGCTTGTGTATCACTAGCTATCAGTAGCTAACAGGGATAAAATCCGAGCATGAGTGTAAAGCCATTGAAATTATCCTTTTAAATCCAAGTCACATTAAGATTGATTTATAATTTAAACCTAACCAAACCTATGACCTGACCCATCACCTTATGTATTATTGCCCCCCAATGTCAAGAAGTGACATCCCCCCAAAAATACCAAACTAAAGGCCTGCCGTGCATACATAATGCTACTTTCTGTCCCTAACACAAACAAATTTATGGAAACGAAATAATATAAAACGAAATGGAAATGAGTTTATAAAACTCAAAGTAAATAAAAAATAGTAAATCGTCTGAAAACGAACTGAAACTTAACTGAATGAACCTTGATGTTTTGTCTTTATGAAGGAAATGTTCAAGTTACTCTTAATGGCTGTAATTTAGTCAGGATCATTCTGATATGATAACAAACAATGCATGCTTATGACAGGTATAACTAAGTGGACCCCTTTTGGCTCAAGATCACCCCCAGAAGCCAACGTTCTGTATAGCCTCTAAGTAAAGTGTTACAGAGAGCATAATGCTGTGGAGAGTAGGGTCATGGTAGAGGTTGAGGTAAAGGCAATAGAGTGCCATAGAGCGGATGCAGGTGTCGCAGGGTTAAAATACGTCATGCCAAGCAGATTAATGTTTCATGCCAAGGGAAGAAGAGGTCCTCCTGTCAATAAGGGGATTGGTTGGTTGGCTGGTTGGCTGTTGCCAGGATGTGGCAATGTGTGCCCATTCAGCCAGACTGGTGCTCGGCTCTACTCTGACCAGGGCCACAAGTGGTGGGCAGGCTGGCAGGTTGGCAGCAGCAGCCACATTTGGTTATTTATACAACTAAGTTTCACAACCCCCACAGACAAACAATGTCTTCAGTTAGGTAGTTTGCCCAAGTCCTTGTCATTAGCTATTGCAGTGCTAGCTGTGCCACTAGAGATCCTGGTTCGAATCCAGGCTCTGTCGTAGCCGGCCGCGACCGGGAGACCCATGGGGCGGTGCACAATTGGCCCAGCGTCGTCCAGGGTAGGGGAGGGAATAGCCGGCAGGGATGTAGCTCAGTTGGTAAAGCATGGCGTTTGCAACGCCAGGGTTGTGGGTTCGATTCCCACGGAGGGCAAGTATGAAAAATAATAAAATTATGTATGCACTCACTAACTGTAATTCGCTCTGGATAAGAGCGTCTGCTAAATGACTAAATTGTAAAATGTAAATGTATAGTAGCTGTTGGCT